TGGAAATTAAAATTATCTTGGTTAAAACTCGGCTGAATTTTCGTAGTTCTTTCTTTGATAACTCATCATACACTACAACTTTTCTTAGATTCCAACAGAACCCTATATATGCAAAGTATCAATATGGCCATTGCAATTAACGGGAAGATTGAAAGGAAAAATAGATTAAATAAGGTACAGATAATTTCTTCAAACCAGAAAAATTCTGTGAAGGTTGCATTACAAGAATAACATAAACGGTACCAATTTTCTGCACAAGATGCGCGCGCATTTCGACAATCAATGTCTCTTCAGTGATGCTCGAGGCCAAAATATTTGAAAATCCAAAGCTTATTAAAAATACGAAGAGCTATAAACAAAAAAGGACCAAAAAGTTATCCAATGATCTCAACCAAACCTTGGATTCAAACCGGAAGATATTCAGACCAGTCAAGAGATGGAAGATGGATAATACCAATAAAATAGTCTTCTATATTGAAACAATCATGTTGTATTGAAATGGAAATCTTGTTTTTAGAAATCTTTCAAAAGTTATACAAACCAGTATCATCGAAGAAAACTGCATGGATGTATATATTATGAATACATTAACCTAACATCCGATATTTGTTAGCGATCGGAGGTCAATCTGAAATACTTCTAATGTCCAGTATCTAATGAGGCAGACCCGCAGCAGAATTCTAGCTTTGCGAACACTTTAATTAATAATGGATAAGTCCAATTGCAAAACAAACCGATGACAGAATCATCCACAATACTATCCGTCTCTTGTAGAAGTATCTTGATCATTGAGTCGTTATTATATGTGACGACTCTTGATTCTTGATTCTGATACCTTATAAAATCGAGAATCTGTTGTTTGTGTTGAAGTAGAAATAATTGTCATATTCATCGTCAAATTGATGAAGAGGATACATTTTTGTATTAATAAGTTACAGGTTATTAATTAATTGCAATAATTGTCTAAAAAAGCACCACACTAGATTGAAACGGGAAATCAAGAATCAATCTGATATACCTATGAGTTTTATGACGGAGATGGAATAGTTGTGGGAATACTTGATGTTCCTTCTTAATAGAAAAAAAATATTTTCATTGTATTAAGTAAATTCTAAACGTTTAAACGTAGAAACAACCGCTGTTATCAATCAATTAGTGGACAATCTGAAGATAATCAGTAAAGATAATTCTTTGAAGATATAAATGAAACATATACTTAATGCTAAAAAATTTGCCAAATAACATTATATGGAACAAATTCAATGAAAAAGATTAACTAGTTTTCAAATGAGGAAAAGCCATCTTAAATTTTATCTTAAGTTAAGAAGTTGACTAGATATGATCTAAACATTTATAATAATCCTCTTTCTATGTTGTTGAAACAACATGTAAAAACTTTTTTCAACCACTTGGTGGCTTGCTTTGCTTTGTTAACATATTTATAGTTATAGGTATATTGCTAATAGATTTCTCTTAGTTTGCAGAATTTACAAACAAAAATGCATTTTCTAACTTTATAAAATATAAATAATCGCTATAAATAATAGAGGTGGTTCACCATTTCTTTCAGTAAATAAATGATTTATTACTCCCATACTTTAACACGTAGAAGCGTTTTGACAATTTTCAATGAACATTGAACCTAGTCCCTAAATAATTAACGTACCTTTTTCAAGGGAACCACGAATTTAAAACCTATTTTCAAAGGAAAACTAGCATAAACATTGCATCTCTAAAAACGGGACGATTAAATATAACAAAAACAAATATAAAAAGAAAAGAAGAAAGAAAAACAATTTTTGTTTATTGCAAACTCTTACAATATCCTGTTTATACATCAGTACTTCATTTGTACTGTTTAGAAACAAATAATGCAATGCCATTATTACAAGTAGTTCTAAGAACATCCTTGCGGAAGTAGTTTTGTAACGCGATTTGTTATCACCACCATATCAATAAACTTAATCAATTAGTAAATCCAATCAGTAAACCAGTTGTTACAGTATTATTTGATGTTTCTAATTTAGTTAAATTCCACAATGAAAATATTGCAAAATTTGACATCAATAACTGGTTTTATATTGGGCCTACATGAATATAAGAGCCTTTATATTCTTGATTACAAAATAGATTTATTCAATCATTTCTCTTTTTTGTCTTTAAATATTCCAATAAAACTGACAAAGCACTGACTATTTTACTATTAGCTTGAAAAATCAGAAATACAAAACGACTAATTTGAAAACAAATCTTAAAATATTCAATTTACAATTTAAATTATATATATGAATTAAAAACCAGATTATGTGATGTTAGATTTCATTAACTTTATAAGTAAAGAAACAATATTTTTTTAACTTGTTTGTTACAGTGATGCACTTTGTCCCTTTCATTCTCAAAGTTATAATACTCAAAGTTTTGAAATCATTGACACTGAGGAATATATCTCCATCATGCAAAGCTCTGATTCTTTGTCAGGATTTTGCTGTACTTTATGTCCTCTTTAGTTTGATCAGCTCTTCAACGTTTGTATGATGTTTAGGATTTTAAAATATTTTGAACTCGAGCATCAATGAAGAGATATTACTTGTCGAAATGAGCATCTGGTGCAGTAAATTTGGTACCGTTTATGTTATTAGGATAACACTATCTATGTAAGCAGGAAAGTTAGGTTAAGAAAAAACAACCAGTAAGAAAAAATCTTAAAATAATTGATGTTTAATCAAAATTAATGCACATTGAGTATAAAACAAACTTTTATGATATTAAATTCCATTAAAGTTATAAAGTATGATTTTGTCTTTTTGTCTATCTTTTGAACATGCTTTTACATTAATGCATTGTTTTTCTTTTATTACTTTAATAAATCACATGCATACTATTTTATGATACCGAAATTTGGACTTTTACTACCAAATATTACTAGTTTATTTCTGCCCTAATTATTTGTATTGAACCAGAATAGCATTGTTATGTAAGTTTCTTCGCTTAATTTCTGTATTTGTTCTCTGATGATTTTGCAATACTCATACTTCTTATACTGCAGCAAGTCTGCGATTGATGTTTCTGATTTCTCCTTCACTCTGTATACCTATTTTTGAATTAATATGGTTTCTTCAGAGAGATTCGAACTCCTGCTGTTCATATCGTGAATAGCGCAGTTGAAACAACCAACAAGATCAGGAAGACATTTTTTTCTCATTTGTATAAGCGTAAGCTTTATATTCATTTTTTCTTTAATCAAATCATTATTATCCAGTTATAAAAAAAATATTTATGTTTTAGCTGACTATATTAATTAAAGGTCTTTTTACTTTTAATGTTAATAATGCAATTATAAATCAAACAACAAGAAAAATCGATGCTGGCAGTCCCAATACATATCGAAATATCAAAGTTTCGACACCTTTATTCCCACCTAAAGTATGAATCCCTCGGTTTTTTTTTTCGTTTAATATTTTATTACAGTTTTAAGAATAGTATTTCTACAACCTTATATTGGCTTCAATCCATTTTCCAAATTAAACAGCTATAAAACTTTAGTTTTGCAAACGGCGCTGTTTTGGGCAGACATATGAATTGTTTTGATTCACCATTAAAATAAGCAAATAACGTGATTGTGGTCAATTGATGATGTCAAAAACTTTGTTTAGCACTGATACAAGATTTCCTTTGGTTTCAGGTGATTAACAGTTGAATTACAAACACATTCTTTTTTTATCATTTCCAATTGAATTTCTGGAAAAAATGGGTTTTTGTTTACTTAAAAATACGTCAGTATTATTTTAAAGTGCTGTTGAAAAGTGACTTCTAATAACTGTTTTAAATTTCTCCTTATTTTCATACATTATTTTATTCTACAGAAGTCATAATATACAAAAATGCTGACATCTTGAAAAATAGTTTTCTCGTTTGAAAATCGGGTGTTCCGTAGTTATTTCCAATCGTTCACCAAATGTTAAAGAAATGTTTTTTGTTTACTTATATTCAGATAACAAAACTGATAGTTACAGAAAATTGATTAATGCTACCAACTTAGATATTAGGATAACTTATCAATTTTACGAGGATTAACCCACGGGTTTTCTGACCAAATTGGACGAAAAAGAGACACGAATGATAAATCGAACTCTGCGAACAGAAAAAGACTGTAAATGTAATACATTTTTCTATTTAAATATACAAACGTACATAGTGCTGATCTGACAAGTTAAGCCCTTTTCAACAGATTTTTATAGTTTGGTCTTATGTTGCACTGTTACACCACTGTTACCAGGTTAAGGAGAGGGTTTGGCGCCAGCAAACATGTAAAACCCCGCAACATTCTATATGTGCCTGTCCCTAGTCGGAATCCTTTGGTTCAGTGGTTGTCATTGTTTCATGCCTGTCATACTTGATTTTCGTAAATTGTTTTGTATAAACTAAGCAGTTAGTTTTCTCAATTGACGTTGTTGAAGGCCGTACGGTTGCCTATAATTGTTTACATCCACTTCATTTGAACTTTGGTGGATACTTGTATCATTGGCAATCATACCACATCAACTTATTTTCATATTGACCAATATAATTTAACCAATTTAAGGTATGAGTCTGTCATCCTTGTACATTTTTCAGTGTAATTATGAAATTGAAATTCATGTATTCCATAAATAAAGAAATCTCTAAATATTGAGGTCAAATCAACTGTTAATTCTTTGTTGAAAAGTTCTTAATTATCCTTAAAAATTAAGATTAGTTTTACAACTGTACATTATGACTTTACTTATGTCAAAATTGTAGTCTGTAAACTATGTTGTTTATACATTTCATTTTGAGAGGCCTGATTGAAACGAAATTGTGTGTTGTTCTTTAATACCAGGAACATATAACATAAAACACAAAGATTAGATCATGTGGTTTTAATGAAACAAAATAACAACATATATAGCTATAGTGTTCTATCAATATGATATATAGGTATGAATATACATATATATATATATTTATCTTACCTCCTATACCTTTCTAGGAATATGATTGGTTAAAAGCAACCACGTGGAGACCATGTATATTCCATATTAGGTTAGTAGGGAGGCAGGGCTTATTTCAATACACGGTTAGTAGTAGTGTTACGTCCCTTTATAAAACAACACGTTGTTGAAAAATCTTTTAAGGTTTCAACAGACAATGCAATCAGGATGATGAACGATTGACATAAATTAATAAAACACATTTTAAGCTTACAAGTTGTTATTGTCGGCATTTGTTTTTGTGTGGACCAATGGAAGTAGGTTCTTAATACTAACGGTATTGAAGAGTTGCTCACTTTTATATGCTCTTAGTCTAAATACCACATGTTAAGATAGTCGGTAAGATAAATTCGTTACATAGTGTGCTAGTTACATAATACGATATATATGGGGTCAGTAAATTCAATATGGGGTGAGAGCGAAACTAATAATATTATAAATGAAAATGCACTCAATATTTGTATTCAACATGAATAATAACATTTTGTCGATTAAAACACACAGTGTTATCAACAAATTTCATCATAATATATATCAATATAATAAACAGTTATATATTTGTTTGGCTGAATCAGCAAAACAGTTATTGTTAAATAGGATCAAATCCAGTAGACTGAGATATCGCAGGTAGTTTCCGTTCGCCCTCAGTCGTTGATTTTATATAAGAGACTTGTGTTGTACTCACAAATCGACTGCCTCTTCTTGTCGGTCTGGAAAGTAAAATAGAAATGCTAATGCTCCCGTTAAGATTTGATAAACACGTTTCATTCTGAAATAATGGAGCATAAGAAGCATAGTACATCGTTTCAATCTGCTTGTGAGTATTTTTAGTCTTGTGTGTTTTTTCCTTTTTCTTTTTATGCCTAGCAGAGATCTGATAAGTATAGTATGTTTAACTGATGTTTACAGTGTGGTTTGTATTGGACATTTCGATTAAAAAAATCATAATATGCCAAAATGTAATTTATAACATGGTTTGTCAACAGTATAATTAAAAGGATGGGTCACAGGGCATTTAATCAAGCTACAGATTAGGCAAAATTATTGTATAGATTATACAGTGTCATGTAAAAATCCAAATTGTGTGTGATAGAATGAAAACTAAACGATAGAAGTTCAAGATAAAACATAACAAAAAACTCATCAAAGATATCAGGCTTAGAAAAAAGTTCTTTTATGTGTTTTTTATGCTAAAAAATAAAACAGATAAATCAATCACATATTTTTTAATAAAAGTTACATTATCTGACTTGATATGGCAATTTAAAAAATATGGAATTTAACCCAAAAAAATATTCTCTTATTTTACAATCAAAGATGGCGGCTGATCACCGATTTACCTTGATAAAAATATAGCGATATATAGACAATATTGTTAATTGCTCTCACGTTTTAATTTTTCACCCAACCGTGACAATAAATTGGTCACATAAAGCATTTTCAAAATTGTTATACCTTATACAGAACGTTCACCATTATAAGCAAAATACATTTCAGGTTCTTTACGTTTATTTGTGTTTTTTTTAAATTGCGCATTATCAAAATGACTTTAAATTAACTAACTGAAAGATGAACACGTAACGCATTGGCAAGTCATGACAAATTATTTCAATCAAAGGAACAGAGCTGGACTTAACATAAGTACTGTTGGACAAGTAAACATGATTAAACATTTATGCCTACATTGTTCTTATAACCACTACAATAAATGCAGAACCATAAGAGTTTTGCTTCTTGTTTCTATCTTTTTAAAATTATTTTATCTAAATTTGAGCAATATTGGTTTGTAAAGTGTTGTGCAAGTCGGCTAAAACAGCGATGTTAACTGCAGTTAGTTCTATTTTGAGTTAAAGAGAAAGCTCATTTTGTATAATGATTTTCCCGCAAAAATGTCAAATTTATGTGAGAAATGTTTTCGTTTCAAAATGTAAAAGATGTAAAAAGATATATTTTTCTTGGTCTATTATATTGGTAAAACCCCATGCTGATATGCAATGGAATGTAAACGAACATTCTAATAAATAGCTATCCCAAAGTCGGTGTTTATATTGTTAATCAGTATGCTGTCAGTAGTATTTGTACTTGTCTATAATGCTTGACGGCATATCTTCATTTCTCTTCAACTTATTCGAATATTAAATAGTTTCGAGAACATTAAGAGCTTGTTGGAAAAATGTCTCAATAGCAATTACACCACATCTGAAATACTTAGGCAAAACATTTAGGAATTTATGGTCCTCAATGCTCTTCAACTTCGTTCTTCATTTGGCCCTTTTAACTTATTTTGATTCGTGCGTCACTGATGTGTCTTTTGTAGACGAAACGCGCGTCTGGCGCAAAAACAAAATTTCAATCCTGGTATCTATGATGAGTTTATTCTTACTTGTATATTGACATATTATATAGACACTTGTTAATGGTGAAATAAATATGTTGCAATCTAGATATCTTATGGCTTTACCCTGTTTTAGCCTGTTGGGTTACTGTCTAATAGTGCATATCCCATATCAACTTTTATTTCTAATCGCATCTTCTACAACGGGTTAAATCAGCAAAAATAAATTAATTAAAATTATCATATTTGTTCTGTATATTTCAGACATTTCAAAAATATAATAAAATTCAAATATACATGAAGTCATAATAACAATTTTTTCCTTAAACTTTATTAAAATATTTGTATTTCAAAAGAAATCAGTGTAGCAAAATAATCATGATAATTGCATATAATGGTTAGAACATTCTGTTTTGCTATCCACGTTGACAAGGTTCTTGCAATATGTGTTATACTTACGGTTTGTTGACGACACAACAACATATCTCGAGGAAAGCTCTTTTAAATGCTGTGTTTGTCATCATATACAGGAAAAAATTAACAACATAATTTGAGAACATGAATAGATAGGTCATCGCCCAGGCAACATCCATCTTTGCAAGGGTCAGATCATCCGCATCAGGAGCTAGATATGAATCTGTTATGAAATATACAGACACGGGGATTGTAGCCACTAGAAAATATAAACTTGTAAAGAGAATCATCTGAGTTAAAACTCTGCTGAATTTTCCGAGTTCTTTCCTAGTTGACTCATCAGATACCGACACTTTTCTTAATTCCTTCGATTCTATCAAAACCATGTTTATGAAAATGTTCATTATTACCATGGCTACAAAAGGAAAGACTGAAAGTACAAATAGATCTACGTAGGTATAGATAAATTCTTCAAACCAGAAAAAATCTGTTGTGGTTGCTTCACAAGAGAGTTCTCCTTCAAGATCGACTAGTCCTTGTGTTTTAAACCAAAAAACATTCAGACCAGCCAAAAGAAGAAAGATGCATATTACCAAAACAATGGTCTTCTTTATTGAAACAATCGTGTGGTATCGAAATGGAAATCTTGTTTTAAGAAATCTTTCAAACGTAATGCAAACCAGTATCATCGATGAAAACTGCATGGACGTGTATATTACAAATACATTAACCTTGCATCCTATATTTGTTAAAGATCTGAGGTCAATGTTAAACACTTCTATTGTCCAGTATCTCGTGGGGCCAACACACAGCACGGTCATGTCTGCCAATGCCAGCGCAAAAAGAAGTATATATGTAGGTTTCTTCCAGAATTTTAATTTTGCGAGCACTGCAACAATGGATATGTTGCCAAATAGTCCAATTACTAGTAGGACCGGGGACAAAATGATCCACAAGTAGCTGGTTGTTTTATGTAGAAGTTGGATAGTATCGTAATCATTATCAGAGGCATTTTGACGCACCGAATCTGAAACATTATGGTATCCAAGTTTGGGCGCTTGAGTTGAATTAGACATAACTGTTGTATTCATTTTTCTAAGTGATGAAGAGATTATATTTCTGTATTAAATAGTTACTGCAAATCAGGAAATTGCTATTGTTTGTCTTATACCACCACCAATCTGTGAGGCGGAGACAATGTTGAATCTTTTATACCTTTAGTTTTATTACTTTTATGGATTAGTTTGGGAATATTTGATGTGCCTTCTTAATAGAAAATCATTGCTTTGTATTTAGTTAATGAACAACCTTTATGTTTTGATATAATTGCAGTTTAATTAGACCATGATTTCAGCAAATGTATTAAGTAATGGAACATCTAAGGATAGCTAGTTCAGAAAAATTTTCGGGAGGTTATTGAAAAGTCAAATTACAACGTCAGTCAGGGTCCAACTTGTAGTAGGATAGAAAATTTACCTTTTCAAGTAACAACAATTGGATTGTCTGAATATACCTCAATTTCCTACTTTTCATGACAAGAAAAAGGGATAAAAGTATAGGTCTTTGACCTTCTGGTGTGATTTAATGGAATTTCCCTTAGGTAAGTTTAAACCTCAGATCAATGTTCAATCTGTTGGGTTTTTACATAATAGCAGGTGTTGTAAAGGCGCACAGCTTTATTGCTTTTCAAAGATCAGTCCCTTGGGAAAGATAGCATTAATAATCAAAAGAACTGTAGAGTAGTTTGTTGTCAAATTTAAACGTTTTGCACTATGATGTTTTCTGTTAGGCATGATAAATTTTGTTGAGATTAAATGTAACTTAGCATTGACAGTTTTATTCGAAATGATTCTAAACATAGAAATTATGAATATTAATGTACGAAATAAACATATTTGTTTGCACGTATTAAATACTACTCGTATATGTATGTTCTAATGTTGACACGTAACTGTAGATGGTAAAAAGCATCGAGGTTTCGTGCGTATTTAAGAATATAGTGTCTAGTTACATGAACCTATTTACAAAAGAAACAGATAAAGTTATAAATTACTATTCAAAAATACTGCGAGCAAGCAACAGGTACATCAATAAGATATTTGTACCCAAGAATAAGATTTATTTTCTTCTATAGATTATTACTTGATTCTGAAAGTGAATGACATGGTACATGTATAAAAACGTGCATATTTTTATCAGTTATGCACACAATTCAAAAGTTATATCATACACATTTACCATTCAAATTTTCGACTCTTTATTTACTAAAATAAAGGTCAAACAATCCTAAAATTACGAAAATAAAATCCAATTTAAGGACAAAATACAATTCTTGTTTTGCTGACTATTTTTTAAAATTACAGTTTATGTATATAAAAATGAAAACAAATCCTATACGGAGTAAATTTTTAATCTATGTTATTTGTTGATTTTGTATTGCTGATAAGTTTTGCTGTCTTAACTTTCTATCTATATATTATTGTTTCCGAATAAAGGCCAAAATCACAAAAATTAGCTAAATCGCCATTTAAGGGCAATAACTAATATAATAAATTTGTTCGCGATATCAACAAGATTTTATAATGCGTTTTGACTGAATAAAGTTTCTCTCTATCAAATACAGTTTGAAAGATAATAGGCAAAAAACCGGTATACTGTTATATCATTACCACATACCTATACGTTTTACCAATAATGTCTTAAGATTTGGATTATGTGTCCACATGGTCTCTCTCAATTCCGGATGTCTCTATTACAAGACCTACCTATAGTATTTATTGTTTATTTGGTCTCGTCCTGAAGATGCATGAAATATTTGCCACTGGACGTTAAGCAACCAACAATCAATAAATCAATCTTTTACAAGGAAACATACATTATACACTGAAAATCTCAACAGAAAGCAAGGCATTGGCAAATTTTTTTTTAGAATTATTATGCTGAAACTCAAATTTGAAAACACTGAAATATTTTTTTTGGAATAAAACTGTCAGCCTAGATATAAAGATAAGGTATGTAGCATTATTCGCATTTGCATTTGGACAACTATTAACCAGTCTCAAAAGGAAGAGGGTGCAAAACACTCTATGTTAAAAGCAGAGCCACTTCTATAAAGTTAATAGGTCCAGGATCCATTTTATTAAATCATTGAATAAAAATTATCCTTTTGACATCAATGCACATTTAATTCATAATTTATTTGTGCAATTCCCGCAAATGCCAAAAAATAAAAGGTTTGCGTTTTATAATGATCATATTTAATGTACTGTCTTTGACCTTTTGTTGATAGATAGAACAAACATACTCCATTTATTGACGTACGGAAAGCCACAAAACGTTTATATATCTACTGAGAACATGAAACATAACATATGTGAAAAAGAAAAACGTTTATTTAAATATCCAAATGTGTAATGCAGAAATAGATATCGACCATGTGCAGTTCTGATTAATTTTCCCAGCTAAATTTACAAAAGAAACAGTTTTTTTCCTAGCAGTTGAATAGTTTTTCATAAAATGTCAATCATAGTAATTGAAAAGCTTTAATATTTATTAATGTTTCGCAATGCGTTTTAAATCGTGATTTAAATACGGTCATATGTTTGTAAGAAGATATCTATACGACTGAATTAAATGTATTTTAAGTAACATTTAAATACATATTTCAGCAAACTAATTGACAGTTTTATTGACAAAAAGGTTCTATTGTGAACTAATTAAAACAACAGATAGATTATCGCGTAAAAGGTGACAATGAGGAAGTGTATTAGGTACCCAGGAGATAAAATACATTATAGTGTAGGTAAAACGACATGTGGATGTTGGCATTGGTTTCAGCAGATGGAATGTACTTATTTGTGTTCTTAATGTTAACACAATAACAACAAACCGCATCATGACATCTGTTAGTTTGTTTACAAATGAATTCTTCGAGACTTCATCCCTTACAACAGAAAGATTATTAGACAACAGACCTACAGTGAGTGACAACAGTACCTTGGATTTGTCTACTAATGCTACCTATTCAAAGTCAGATGATGAAACTTCTACCATTGAAAATGTAACAAAATGGATATGGATAATAGGTTCACCGATAGTGTTCATTCTTGGAATATTTGGAAATTTTGGAATAATATTAGTTTTATATCGAATGAATAGATGGAAGAAATTGACTTACAAGTTAATTTTGATATTAGCCATATCCGATTCGGTTGTACTATTTATTGGACTTGGACGACAATGGCTTCGTTTTGCAATAGGTCTGGATATTAGACTGTTTTCAGATTTCAGTTGCAAATTTTTTGTCTTTCTCATATATTTTTCAATGCATTTTTCGTCATGGACTTTAGTTTGCGTTACGTTTGAAAGATACCTGAAAACAAGACATCCATTTCGAACATATTGTGTAAATGTTTCGAAAATTTTGAAGATTACTTATGTGTTTACTATTGTCATAACATTGGGGCTTGACTCTCACCTTCTTGTAACGAATGGACTTAAAATCAACACAAAGAACAGTCTAACTTGTAACAATACGTCAACAGAAAACTTCAATTTTGAAGAACATTACTTTGTTTTTATAGACTTAGCATGGGTATGCTTCTTTCCTTTTGTTTTAATGACGTTTATGAATGTGTTTGTAGGCAGAACAATTAGAAGATCATTCCGACGTACAGTGAGATACATGCCAGATCCACAAAATCGTGAACGTCACGTGATTCGAAATAAAAAGTTAACACGCATGATATTTTGGACAAGTGTATATTTCCTTCTTACAACATTACCCATATCTGTGCATTTTTGTGTGGATTCATTTCTAAAACTAGGTTCGACAAAAGAAACAACTGACAAAATTAACCTGTCTGAAGCAATTCTTTATCTGTTCCAGTTTACAAATTACTCTGTTAATTTTTATATATACTTTAAATTCAAAGATGCCTTTAGAGAATACCTTCCCTGTAAAAGAAGATCAAGGTATGTCAGTTACTTATTACAAAATAATACTGATTAACCAAAAGAACCATGTTTAAACCTTTCTTAAACAATTCTTTCTCATGTGTGGTTCCCTTGCAAAGTACATTTTTGAAGACGATGTGTATGTTTAATTAGCCCTAATTAGCATTATTAGAGACTAAAAGGAAGACTAAATTGATCTACATAAAAGTAAAAAACATCCTCTTCCGAAACAGATTTTAATTTTGTAGTCAAACACTGTAAAAAAGATGCGATGGACTGGTGCCGTACGGTAAATAATTGGTTAGATGTGATATTGACATGGGTCGATTTGAATCGCCCATATAGAGATACTTGTACATCATATAATACCCGGTTAGTTAATGACCCGGTTAAGAAGGTGGCGAAGACATTAAGATTTTGTGTCTGATTCTTTTGTCATTTTATGATGATAATATATGTCTTTACTAACTATTACAAAGGTAGAGTTCAATCAACTTTAATGTATTTTAGGTCAAATTGTCGATTGTAATAAAAGTAAAATGTAGTTTTTTTTAATCTCATTGCAGCTGGTAGATATTTACTAAAATTGAATGGGTAAAAAATTGCTTGATATGATGCATTGCAATCTGCCTAAAAAATAATTTTCTTAAACTAATTTTTAACGTCCATAAAGTGTCGGGATGTAATGGCAAAATGTAATAACGTAGAAAAGTGGTAATACGAAAAACTCTTCAAAGATACCAATATTGTAAGCAATACGCGTCTTTCGTTTCTATAAGACTCAGCAGTGGCGCTCGAATCAAATCATTTGTAATGCAAAATCAAATACAAAGTTGAGGAGCATTTAACACTACAATTTTCCTAAAAGTTGTGATAAATACAGCTATGGCTTTATGCCGGTGGTAGAAATCATAAGTGTTACGAATAACTCAACCATAGATAAACAATAAATTTTCAGAAATGAACATATCAAGTTTACTTCATGTCAACGCAAAATTGCTGACTAATGTGTAGGTGAGCTCTAAAAGATGTAAAGTCCTACTGGATCCGGTTGCTCACCTCTTGATTTTAGTGAGATCTTGTATATATCTATAATCATGGACACTTCTACGATCAACACTTCTTTTCAAACTGTCAGTGACATCCGCGTTGCTGTTGTACTATTTAATGAACTTATAAACTGAAAAGAAATTATATTCATTGACCAAACAGTTTTTCTAGACCGGTGAAAAGTAATGATAATTCTTTATTTTGATCAAATGAACATTCACTGAAAATTTAACAGAATTGTAACCCTTGGATACGTAACCCTCAGTTAAAACATTCAATTCTAGGTTATATTTAACCGAGAGATGAACAAACGGATCCACTTGTATCGACATAGTGGTTATAAAACCCACCAAAGATACCAGATTATATGACTGAAGTTTACGGCTAATGAATGTGATAAAGAATTGGTTCGGTAATTAAATTAAATAAACAGAAAAAGATATTTAACGAAAGAGAAGAAGTTTTGTGTGAAGTTTTGTGTGGGTCGCACATGTATGTGGACCAGGTTCTGCTTACCGTATGCAGCACCTGAAATAAGCCTTTTTTTGCTAGGTTCTTGTTTTTGATCGTTTTTAGTCATGGCATTGTAAGCTTGTCTTCGAATTATGATGTGGAATGTCTCCTTGGAATCGTAAGCTCAGATAATCACTCATACTCAAAATATGAAGATAACGGATGTACTGTCAATTGGAGTGAACTTATATATATAATACCCCCTTCCCCCAAAATACAAAACAAAAATAAACCCAAGAAAATTTGAAGAACATGTTAAGTGTTAATGCATCAAACTAATTACTTTAAATTTCACAAATGTTTCAATTTCAGATTTTCAATAGAAAGACAATCTCACTCAGTTTCCAGAGGCAGAGGAGATACAACACTAACCAATGTCGATAATTCAGTTGGAAACGGTTCGGTGCATGAATTAAAGGAAAATGTCAACCGTACAATAGATGAAACTCAGCTTTCTGAAGATAATGTATTATAGAATACCCACTGTGAACATAATCATACAATTAGTATTCCCATTAAATGAAATAGAAACAAATAGGGTGAAAGAAATAGTTATGTACATCAAATATTTTTTCTTCATTTATTTACTGTTATCTTAGATATAAAATAGAAACAGATAGAAACACCTTCAAATGGAATGAAAGGAATAACTATTTACAACAAATTCATTGTTTTCTTTAATTTACTGATTTTAGATATGTCTAGTCTCATGCATGATTCGATAAATGCAATGTCAGATTTTAACTAGGTAAAATTTATAACCGTCTGCACACATGTAGTTCTTTGTCGTGTCATTGATCGCCGTTAAGGGGAAATCATAAAACTATCAAATACCAGAATTATTAATCTAAAGGAAAAGTTATGAAAGTACGACGAATTTTATAAAACAAATATGGCGAAATCGGTTATTTTCAAATGTTTTTCATTTTCGTATTTAATTTGGTCTTCAAACTGTTAGAATTCGAGCTGTATTTATCAGTCTAATGTAGTCGAAACGCACGTCTGCTGTACTAAATTATAAGTCTGGTCTGATATCTTAAACGAGTTTAAACGGTGCAAAATATGGCTTTTTATCATTATGGCAAAAGTATCTTTCTTTTTTATCAAACAAATAGTATTCGGAGACACTATTAAATCGTAAAAAAAAAAAAAAAAAAAAAAAAAAAACATAAAATATTTTGTCCGGATGAAAGAGGAATTTAACAAGAAACCCTGCACATGCAATATGAACCGAATTTTACGTGATAAAAGTATGAGACAATGTTTCGCCTATATAATTAACCGAACCTTTATTGTTCTTTACAATTTAAAAATCTATGACAATGCCAGTTGGTTATTTGGTTACATATTTGTGACTGAAACACGAGAATTCCATTTGTAAACGCCTTTTATCCTTGAAGGAAACAGAAATATAACTCTAGTTGTTTTTTAAAGACTCTGTACATTCGCCATGTGTTATGGGTGAATGTCTATTCTTTCTAATTACTATTTAGGTTCATTTGTAGAATTATAACAAACACCAAACAACAAGACTTAAAAACAAAAATAAAAAGCAAAACATTACTCCCACCCTTACACACAAACATAGTTAGAAAAAATTATATCGCATTTCGAGTTATAAGTATTCAAGTGGTATGCTTCTTTTTCTTTACTTTATTTTCATATTTGTCGCATTACCTGGAATATAGTACAATAACAATGAAACAAAACATCACAATAAAGAAATAAAAATGAGAACTGGATAATAGTCGATTACTTTTTCATTGTTTACGTTTCTTCGAATCAATAATTAACTTTTAAATAAACACGTTTAAATAACACTTGTTTTAGTTTTTTTTAGTTTTTTTTTGATTTGTTTGTGGTCATGACTAAAAAGGATTATTGCTCTCAAGATTAGGCATATTATGGATTATCCATTATATCAGCAACATAAATATAAATTAAGGCCTGCCTTTCTGTTCATTAAATTATGATTAACATACTTGTTTACTTTCATAAGTCATCAGGAAATTTTCCAATGCGTGCTCGTAGTTTAATATATTGTTGGCTTGGTAGGTTGATGTTTATTCGATTGACGATACGATGTCAATTCTGTATTGACTATAGTTCCATGAAAACAATTGTTTTCACACTAAGGTAATTAGGTTAACTTCCAAAAACAAATGTCCAAATAGTTCATGGAAAACAGATGGTTGCAAACGTTGACTGAAATATGATAACCATAGCTGAAATCAATACGACTGTATATTAAAAAATATAATTAGAACAAATTTCATTCCTCGTATTGAATTCAATTGAGTTGGTACTGCAATAACGTAGGTAAAATTAGAATTAATAAATAAATAATGTTCAAAGTTAACTTAAAAATAATTTCTCAATTTCTTTAGGGATCAACTAAAAAGTTGTTCGTCATCTGCTTAATCGGTTAAAGTATATCAATATTATGTTTAAAGCGTTCTTTCTCTCTCGTTCTCTCTCTTTCTCATTTTGGTGCGTGAACATCACGAAGTCAGATTTTATATAAAAACGTAAATATACACTATTCAAAATGTCGTTCAGTATTAGTGTACATTTCCATCCTCTTTAAAATTTTTGATAAAACAATTTTATAGAAATAACATAATCTTTAACTTGACAATTTGTACACTTACATTTATATAGTGATTTAATTTAAGGTTTCAGAATTCTATCTCTAAATACCGTCTTTAATGTTCCTATAGGACATTTCCTTTCACGCTTTTTATACATATTTATGTGTTTTAAATGACAAGGGTCTGTTTTGTCAGTGCATTCACTAAATCAGACCTGACAAAATACTGAAATGTCAGCACGTAATCGGTTTGAAAAACATTACTAAATGTATAAATGCAGGCAGCGTTGAAGTAGCAGGAAATTTGTAATAAAACGTCTATATAGCTACATGTAGTACTGATATTCAAGAGATGGTAAAATTGTTCAAGCAGACGATATGTAAATTATTTGTAGCTTAATAAGTGCACATTAAGGCTTTTCTCATTTTACAGCAATACGAAATTGAAAAAAGTAAAATATTGTACACATGTATCACAACTGGAGCATGATCTGCTTAATCTTTTGAAGCATATAGGGTCACCTCCAGTTTTTGATTGGTGCCTACTTTTCTATGTTGGATTCTGTTGACTCAATGACTTTTTTTTTATTTTATCGTTTTTTATTCTTTGAAATGGCACTGTTGGTTTTTTTATACCATGATGCCATCATTTTGAACAGAATATTGATATGAAACCGAATATAAATTAAAGTTATTATCGATGATTTTCTAAGTTATATTTGAATAGCTATTATCTGATATTGATCGTTAGTGTAACGTTTGAACCAATTGGGAATGCTTAGCTCAAATACACGTGTAGGAAAAGGCTAGGATTTCAAGATGCATTTAGCCCCATTTTACCTACGATCTCATTCCATATCTCCGGATGGAATGAGTAATATCAATACATATATATATATATATCTATATATATGTATTGATATAGGTTAGAACGTTGTTTTTAATTTAGACTTGTATATATATATGGCAGTCAGCAGGGTTTAAGAACATCTGTTGTTCGATCTGCTAGTCAAATGCGTTTTGTTAAAATATACTTTTTCACTTTTTTGGTCTTTTGGAAAATGTTGTTTGTGTTGTATTTAGACCCCTCTACCAAGAAATTTGTTTTGCATGCACAGGTATAACAATTGTGGTTTTTATCCGACGCAATCATAGGTTTGAATGTTGTTTTCAATTTAGACTTGTTTATATTTTTCGTTTGGGCTTGTATTATATTTGCCTTCGGGTTTATATAATCCGTTCATCCTATTTCGACTCTCCAAAATTCAAGAGTCTATCCTAAATTGAGGTAAATTATATGGCCTTCCAAATATCGTTTCGATTCCTTACATAACAAAAGGGACATTAATTGTCGAAATCCGGATACGGTGTACACATTTTTACACCTCATGTTTGCGGTATTCCAATCTTTTCCACAAGTTTATTGTTTTCTGTTTGGTAATAAATTAATAATAAGATCCATTTTGTTACATCTGGTGATCCATTTATTTGGCAACCGCCAATGGCAGTCAGCAGGGTTTAAGAAAATCCGTTGTTCGACCTGCTAGTCAAATGCGTTTTGTTAAAATATACTTTTTCACTTGTTTGGTCTTTTGGAAAATGTTGTTTGTGCTGTATTTAGACCCCTCTACCAAGAAATTTGTTTTGCATGCACACGTATAAAAATTGCGGTTTTTATCCAACGCAATCATAGGTTTGAACGTTGTTTTCAATTTAGACTTGTTTATATTTTTTCGTTTGGGCTTGTATTATATTTGTCTTTGGGTTTATATGATCCGTTCATCCTATTTCGACTCTTTCAAAATTCAAGAATCTATCCTAAATTGAGGTAAATTCCAAATACCGTTTCGATTCCTAACATCACTGAAGAGACATTAATTGTCGAAATCCGGATATGTTGTACAAATTTTTACACCTCATGTTTGCTGTATTCCAATCTTTTCCGCCACTTTATTGTTTTCTGTTTGGTAGTAAATTAATAATAAGATCCATTTTGTTACATCTGCTGATCCGTTTATTTGGCAATCGCCAATGACAGTCAGCAGGGTTTAAGAACATCAGTTGTTTGATCTGCTAGTCAAATGCGTTTTGTTAAAATATACTTTTTCACTTTTTTGGTCTTTTGGAAAATGTTGTTTGTGCTGTATTTAGACCCCTCTACCAAGAAATTTGTTTTGCATGCACACGTATAAACATTGCGGTTTTTATCCAACGCAATCATAGGTTTGAATGTTGTTTTCAATTTAGACTTGTGTATATATATATATTACAGGAAGGTATGCAGAAAATCTTCATCGCCCTGACGGTTCTTATATCTATCTCTCAGGTGGAAGGATGGTTCTTCAGAAGGGTTAGAGTTACTGGAGACACAAGAAAGTAAGTAACTGAACATTCGATATACATGTATTTCGCTTTACAAATGCCATACAACTGTCTTACTTCCATTAGGTCAATGCATATGCTTGTTGATTTACGGTCATAATTAGTACTATCTGCACATTAAACGATACTTGGTCTCATTTTAATATTACATATGGAGAGTTAACCAATCATGATGGCATACGTAAAGACATCGAATGTATGATTTTTATTTTACCATTTTAAACCATTGATTCAATAGATTTCCTGTAAGAATCCAATCTCTTTCACTTAAATCATGATTGAAAACGCCTGCCCTTGACTCTAGTATCAATTTGAGATAAATATTAAATATGCATAACGGATATACTATTTTTTATATTACCGACGTTTGGCTCAGGAATACATAATTTTCCGACAGGTTGTATGACATTTTGGGACTCGGTCAAGTAAGAGCAACCAAAAGGATTAAAATAACGCTTACAAATGCTGTAATTTTGGGAAAAAAATCACTGTTACCCAATTATATAATTACTTTTATTCATATTTGAATGAGTTTTTGAATCATTTTTACTTTTCAGTACTTTTATCAAAAAATGGGTCTCATTGTTTGATCTTTGTCTTTCTGTTTACAATATAAAATAAAGTGATGTTTATGATTGCAATTATTTATTTCATTTTAGCTGTTTTTGTAAAATTTATGATGCAGATACAAATACAAAACTTCATGATTTTGGATCAATTCAAAGTTGTTTTGGCTGGCCTACGTGTGCTTGTCGACGACACGAAATGGTTACATGCGGTGATAAGTGTGATCAAAGAGTTGCCGGATGGTTGAAATATAATAAATCAAAATGCCAGGGTCGAACTATCAAGAAGCACTATCAGGCAAGCACTTGTGGATCACCTACATATGGTCATGAAAGACGAGTGTGTTAAGACTACAGTACAACATTAAACACGTTTTAGATTACAGAATATTCATACAATTTAGAATTAAACTGACTATTCTAAAATCTGCTGTGTTGTTTAAATTGCTCTCTATAAATCGTTTAATTTGTTTGTTACAAGATTCCATGGCATACAAATTTTCCAATCAAAATTCCTCTATCAATTTTATTTTATGAAACTCGATTTTTTAACATTATTTATTTCTTCAGTGTAGGTTCATTTTGCAAAGTATAACTCTGGACTCTATGGCATATTACTCTATGAAGTAACCGAGGCACTAGTTAGACGGGCTTTCACTGTATAAATAAACTTTTACGACTTACATTCAGCAATACATTGTTAATATAAAATAAGGAGATGAGGTATGAATGCCAATGAGAACAACTATCCACCAAAGTTCAAATAAAGTGGACGTAAGCAATCATAGGCAACCGTACGGCCTTCAACAATGAGAAAAAACCCATACCGTATAGTCAGCTATAAAAGGCCCCGATATGAAAAATAAGAAACAATCCAATTGAGAAAACTAACGGTCTAATTTATAATATAACACAATTAACTAAAAACAAATATGACAGACATGAACCAACGAAAACCACTGAACTACAGGCTCCTGACTTGGGAAAGGCAAGTTAAAACAATATGTTTTCAGTTGCAGGTTTATATGACTCCGTCAGCGAATTGTTATGAAAACTGTCTACAGTTCATATAGATATTTATGGGATTATACGTTGAATAAAAGAATATGTCATGTATGTAAATTTATAAAAGTCCAATTCGTATCAAAACAGAGAAGCAATCTTTAATGATTAATTTTGATTATGACAACGCTGATATTAACAGATAACTTGTAAATGCAAACCAAACGAGATATTGAGCCCGATCGATTCATCTACTTCACTATTGCACTTACGTGCACGTTTGCGTAGTTTAAAAAAATAGCAATTGGAAAATAATTTTAAAAAGCCTAATGTCAAAGAAAAGACATCCTCATGGCCAAAATATTCATCAATGCACAACACCCTACACAGAAATTAAAGATTGAGCAAAACAACCCCCTGAAAATATTCTTTCCTTAAAGTTCCTGATTTATTAGTAGCAGTCGTCTTGTTTCTCATAGCAAAAAGCAATTCGGTGATAAAAAGCATTCGGTGAATAGCACAATTGATAAAATAGCTTGGGGTAATGGTTACGATAGGTGGAATATATCCATTGTCATAGAAAACACAAAAATTACAGAACAGTCAACCAAATCAAGATGTCGTCTATTGAATATTGGTTCAAAAACATTCATGTTACTTGCAACCCTTCTATCAAGAAAATCATGAAAAGATACCCTTTCTATGATCGTTATACCGATCTGATTTAATAGTTTACGAGAGGTACGAGTAAATGGACAGAAAAAAGTAAAAGAACAAAAATACCGAACTCCAAGGGAATTCAAAACGGAAAGTTCATGATAAAATGGCAACATCAAAAGCTCAAACACATCAAATGAATGGACACGACTTGATGAATTCAGAAATAATATTAAGGCCGTAGTACGAACACGCTATCAAGAAACCAGTTTAAAATTCATACACTTTACTAGTCACACATATGTAAAGTACAATATCGTTAACTTTTTCGCGTGACATTCGTGACAGAAGCGTGAATTTAATATACACAACAGATTCAACCTAGTGAACAATTAGATGAATTTCACGCCAAATTAAAATGCTTTTTATTAATAATAAATTCACGTTAATATTAAAACATTGTACATGTAGTCGCTTGATACATTACCCATATCAGATGTATAGCTAAACAAGTTTATGCTGTTAGTTTTCTAATTCCACCTGTAACTTGTTACGTAAATTTCTTGCATCAGCTTCAGATTCATGTATTCGTCCAGTGTATTATTTAGTTCAGCCATGACTCCAAAGATATAATTAGTGGAAAATCACTAAGATAACCTTCGATTGCCTAAAATGAAACATTCAAAATATGGTTCTTAAAAGCAATCATAAGATAAATGTTGGCTTTGATCTTACTTGCATGTTAAGATTTACGTGTGCTTGGTGAAAAGATATAATAGTGACTTACTCTTTCTTATACCTAGATCCTATTGCCGTGCCTTTTTATTTCAAAAATGTGATTCATACAGAATAATGATTAAACAACCTAAGATATCCAAAGCTTTGTTGTCACATATATTTACGACATCAAAAGCTTTGTAATCACATAGAATTACAACATATATAGGAGAGGTGGAAGATACCAATTTATTCATACTCATACGTCGATGACAAACTGACAACGCCATGGCCAAAAGACAAAAGACGAAGTAAACAACACGAACCCCACCAAAAAACCGGTAATGATCTCAGGTGCTCCAGTAAGGTAAGGAGATTCTGCACCACATGTGACATACATTGTGTTGCTAATATAACTAAACACATAATAGATACCAGATACACAAATTATGAACGCCAGACCTGCGTTTTGTCTTCAATAGACTCATCAGTGACGCTCGAAACAAAAAAGTTAAAACGCTTAATAAAGTACAAAGTTAAAGAGCATTGAGAACCAAACATTCCGAAAGGTAAATGTAGTTTTGATGTATTTGAAGATAAATATCATTATATAAAATATATTTTATTCAGCATTTTAATATTTGTATTTTTGACATAGTTTAACAGCAAAAGGCTTTATCATATAGATGAAGACAATTGGAAAGTTCAAATTAGAAATAACATACTTTAAAATTATATTTATGCATTTCGTTTTCAAATGCAGATTGGATCAGGATAAAGATTCACCACTAATATTCTGTTTGGGGAAATAGGAAAATTTGGAAATTATAATCGTTTTATTTCGAACAATCAGATGACAGTAATTTTACGGCAATGGATTTGCTTCTCTTTTGATTTTGATATAATACAGTTTTCAGTTTTACTTCTCTGATTCTGGATACTTTTCATTCGTCATTAACTTAAGTTTACGTTGCATTTGAACTATTTCTGTAAACGAGACATCCATTTCGACTTGTTCCTCTATTCATATGAGGCTGACTTCATTCAGGAACTTCTAAGGAAGAAAGAAAAGAAGTTAGCAGCATCATTCAACTTTATTTTCCGCTATATAGATAATGTTCTCTCAATAAATAGTTCAAAATATGGTGACTATGTTGAATGCATTTATCCCACCGAACTTGAGATAAAGGATACAACAGATACAGTTAAGTCTAGCTCATATCTTGACTTACGTCTAGAAATTGACAATGAGGGTCGGTTAAAACCAAAACTTTACGACAAAAGAGATTATTTCAGCTTCCCAATTGTGAACTTTCCATTTCTTTGTAGCAACATTCCAGCAGCGCCTGCATACGGAGAATATATCTCCCAGTTGATACGATATTCCAGGGCTTGTATTTCCTATCAAGATTTTCTTGATAGAGGGATGCTGTTCACAAGGAAGCTATTAAACCAATAGTTCCAAGTGGCGAAGTTGAAATCATCCCTTCATTAATTTTACGGACGCCATTACGAGTTGGTTGACCGTAATTGAATATCAATTTCACAGATGATAGCGGATATGTTCTAATTATCGTAATTACAATCCCGTCCCCTTTTCCCCGAATGTGACCTACCGATTTAGACTTATTATCGGATTGTACTAACATGAGCAACACGACGGGTGCCACATGTGGAACAGGATCTGCTTACCATTCCGGAGCACCTGAGATCACCCCCAGTTTTTGGTGGGGTTCGTGTTGCTCAGTCTTTAGTTTGTCTATGTTGTGTTTTGTGTACTGTTGTTTGTCTGTTTGTCTGTTTCTTTTTTAGCTATGGCGTTTTCATTTTATTTCGACTTGTGAGTTTGAATGTTCCTTTGGTATCTTTCGCCTCTCTTTTCGAACGTTTTGGGTTAACGAATCAACTACTTTGAATCTAATCTTAGTTTTTCTCTTATTATATCACTGTGGCTGAATTTATGTAACAAATTAATTAATCAACTTTATACAATACTTCAACAGAATAACTTTAAAGCAAGATATTTTGTCGTTGTAGATTTCGATCTTGCATATAGTTGTTATTCATACCATTTGATTTAATGCTGTTCATGAATGTGCTATTGACGATATCACCCAGATCTGGTAAATTATGAACGCCAATTGATTAGATATTTAAAAAAAAACATTGTTTGGTACAAGTATACACTAAAGCTTGATTTCTTGCTAAAGACATTCTAAATGCAAGATAGATATATGTTTGGGTTAAACATTGCGACAGTGTGGTCTGACCTCATGAATTGTTCTGCCAATACCTTTTCTTACATTTGTTTTTTTAAGTGCCCCAATGATGTGTCTGAATACTACACAGGGGGGGAATGAAACTAATTTAAAAAAAAGGGTAATCTAAAAAATAATTTGTTTAGTCAGGTTTGAAATCTCGTGGTTAAACATATGTTAACGGGTGTCAAACCCAAATGCTGTATTGCAAATAGATGGCAAGATTAAATTCTTATTTTTACGCAGGTTTATTGTTACGTATGTACATGCCCGCCAAGTTTTTGACCTTGTAAAAAAGGTGGGGTGATCTTTATGTTAAAAAGTGTGTTTCGGATTCTTTAATCGCTGTTCTTAACAGAAAGATATAATCTAATCAAACTATTCAAGAAGTTGGCAATTGTTCTTAAAGTTCACAGCTTGTTTTCTTAATCCCACTACAGTTTACAAAAATTGATGTTAACTGAATGCAAGGAAATAATGTGATTGTGGGTTCAGCCACACATACATTTTTCATTAATTTATTTAAAGTCAACTTATTTGTCGGATTGTGAAAGTATTTTTTTTAGGTCCCTTTTGGTAATATAGTTTTTCAACTGTTTCGCTTCATATATATCTTTTGCTTTCAAATATTCAGCTTTGAGCGTTCCTGCTGAAGGTAAATCCAGAAAATCGCTTCGGACGCATGAAATTAATAACGTGTTGTATTCATTTTTACAGCACTTGGTCGAAACCTCTGCTGGTGGACTATCAGTCCCCGAGGGTATCATCATCCTAGTTGTCAGTACTTCGGTA